CTACAAGTTACGTATTGCTGTTGGTACGTGACACAGACTTGGTCTTCTGGGCAGTACCGGTCTTGGCATGGGTCATTTAATGAGTTTAATCTACAATCCAGATAAGCTAAAACAAATACCAGTTTATTTTCAATATAATAGTTTTTCAATTAAAAGCAAAATTACCAATAATTAATTTTGAACGTATTTTAAAAGGCATTCAGTTATTAAAAATAATCATCAAAAATTTAGTACGCCACTGTATTTTTGAAAAATGAAATGGAAACTTATTTCCATAAATTTATTACAATGTATCTAGTATATTGTGATTATTAAATTAAAATTTGGACTAAACTATTTTTTGTTAAATACTGTAAAAGTTTGACGTCGAAAACAAGTCTAGATAATTAGCATCATAAATTATTTTTATATTTTAATCTGTTAGCACGGTTAATAAAAGATTGTTAGAAAATATCTGTAAATTAGTACAGGGTGGTCCTGCTTGTAATATTCGAACTTTAACAAAAAATAATCATTCATTTTTTAAACATAAAAACCCATACAATTTCTAGAGATACTTAAAGAAAATTTAGTGTACAGGGTGTGTCATGAATGTCTCATGTGAATTATTGAAAAAATTTCATGAAAAATTAATTCAACATATTTAATAACAAAAAAAAATCATTTTGATATAATGTCATGCCGGTCAATTAAAAAATCCTCTTCAGATATGCAAAAAGGGGGGTTAGGTGATAAAATATCAAAAAAAATCAAAAAGAAAAGTTGCTTATATCTTGATTTTGCGTCTTTGTGCCAAGTTTTTCTGAACTTTTTCCAAAAAAAGCTTTTTTCGATAAAATTACACAAAATAAAGTAAATCCAACAAAAATCATTCGTAATACAATATTTTATTTTACCTATATATACCGTAAATAATCATAAAAACCATCAAAATCTATTTTTAAGATACCTAACTGGTTCCAATGGCTTATAGATAAAAAAAAACTTCAACACACCACACAATATTTTTTTTTCATCTAAACCTTAGTACTAAACAATTTATAAAATCTATAAAGTCATTTTGAATCTGCCAGTTTCAATTTATCTTTTATACAGGGTGTCCCAGGAATAAGTGTAGTATAATTCAACCCCAGAAACACGCCCATGAGGTTTTTTCGCAAAAAAATTGAAAATTCGAAATTTTTGGAAATTTTTTTAGTTTTTAGTTAAAAAACATAATTTTTTGATAATATGGCAACATAGGTATTAGATTAAATTTACAAGAAAGAAAATCCAGTGGTTCTCAAAATTTTAGCAAAAAATCATTTTTTTTTGGAAATTTTCAAAGTAAAATAACTCCGTTATTTTGGACTCATTTGAAAAACCATACAGAGAAAATATATTTATTTTATCGAGATCTACCACCCCTTAAAATGCACTTATTTCTTTTTCTAAACTTTTTTCGCAAAATTAAATAATAAAATAAATTCTCATTTGTGCAGAAACTTTATGGCACACCCTGTATAATTTTTAAGGTAAATTATCGATGATACTTACTGTCTGTACAGGATCCCTTAAAACAGCAACCTCCGCAACAATCGTAATCATCCGAACACTAAAACAAACGGTTTAAACATTTTTTTCAACTACGGTACAAATGAACTACTCACGGTTTGCCCGTAAAACCGACAGTCCTGAGCCCAAACGGCACTGGCAAACGCACAAATACCCAAAACCACCGCACGATATACCATGTTCCTTGCTTTTTTCCCAACGAATACCGTTTTTTTTCTCTAAATCTATCGCAGAATCGATAAAAATGCTAAAGCGCCAAGGATTTTGGCGCTACTCTACTAATTAGATATATTAAACTTATCCTCAAACACACGATCCTCTTTTGAAAATATTTACTCTACATATTTACAGACACTGATACCATGTAGGATCGGAAATAAAACGGCGTCGCAGTGTCCTTCGATTTTTTTTAACTGTCTGAGGAAGGAGTATAAACAAAACTAGCGAGAACGTGTTAAGCGATTTTCATGCATCCGTTGTCCGACGATACGTTGATACGATATTAATTTTATTGGTAGAAATTAAAGACTTTGATTGGTTAGAAAATAACGCAGTTTTAAATTTATTGCATTTTCATGCCTCCGTTTATCGGATATACGTTGGTGTCATTTTATATTTTTGTTTCCATAACGATTTTGCTATTTTACCTTTGAATAAGAAGACTAAGGAAGGAGCATAATGCTATCCATGTATTGATGCATGGTGGGCGGAAAAAGGACTCTAGGGTGGGGATCCTTGACAGTTCTGTTTGACGATTCATTTGACACATTTGAATTTGATTTGAAATTTTGTGGATTTGTCAGCCTTTACGGAGCTTATTTTATGTTATTTATTATTTATTCTACTACTGATAATTGTATAAAGGTAGTAAATCTAGATGGAAATTGTGGCAGAACTTAAATTAACAGTGACACTATCGCGATTTATCGAAAAAGACTCTAAAATAGTTGGTTGTGTAGCGTGCGGTAGATCTCGGCAAAAATCAAGTGAAATAATGGAACAACTTTTCGCTAGTAAGTGACTATATAATATACATACGTGTAGTAAACCGATCATTTATGAAATTCACTTAAATTAATTAAATTATATATTTTTTCTTGCATTTTTGCTTTTATTTACTACTTGTCAAAGATTAGATGTCAAAGAATTTAGATACGTCAATTTGACTTACCTGCTTCAGTAGCGTATCGGATGTTTGTGTTAATAAGTAATTATTAAAACTAATCTATTTTTATTATAATAATATATTTTAACAATTTTAATAACTACCAACTATATTTACTCACAACGTAAAATAAAAAAAAATTATTGAGTACCCCACGTCTACCCTACATCATAGTTTTACATTTTTTAAATAAAATTGAAAAAAAAATATTTGAGTCCCATCGCGGTGGACCTAAGATTTTTGATATGCTCCATCCTTAGTCTTCTTATTCAAAGTATTTTACTTATATTTTTATTAAGGTTAGATTAAATTTGTCAAAAAAGTGTCAAAACGTCCGTTATCGTATGAACGGATCCGTTGACGGGTTGAAGTAAAATATTTACCGATGAAAAGTGGCGCGAAAACGCTATGACCAATCAGAGCACCGTCGGACCATCGTATCAACGTATAACGGACGCATGAAAATCAAGCTTTAGTATTTCAATATGGTTGACTATTTCTGGGGTTTATCAGTGGTATGATAATTTTGTTTAAACGTGTTAAAATTTAAATAGGGTAGACTCAATAATATTATTGTTTTGTTTTATGTTGAATCAATAAATGTTATTAATTTTTAATAATAATTTATAATAATCCATCGATGACATTCGCCCTTTGAATAAGAAGAGTAAGGAAGGAGCATATGAAGAATCTTAGGTACACCGCGATGGGCCTCAAATATGGCCGACTTAAATTCCGGTTTATCAGTGTCGTTCTAATTTTATTTAAAAAATGTAAAACTATGATGTAGGGTAGACGTGGGGTAGACTCAATAATTTGTTGTTTTATTTTACGTTGTGAGTAAATATAGTTGGTAGTTATTAAAATTGTTAAAATATATTATTATAATAAAAATAGATTAGTTTTAATAATTACTTATTAACACAAACATCCGATACGCTACTGAAGCAGGTAAGTCAAATTGACGTATCTAAATTCTTTGACATCTAATCTTTGACAAGTAGTAAATAAAAGCAAAAATGCAAGAAAAAATATATAATTTAATTAATTTAAGTGAATTTCATAAATGATCGGTTTACTACACGTATGTATATTATATAGTCACTTACTAGCGAAAAGTTGTTCCATTATTTCACTCAATTTTTGCCGAGATCTACCGCACGCTACACAACCAACTATTTTAGAGTATTTTTCGATAAATCGCGATAGTGTCACTGTTAATTTAAGTTCTGCCACAATTTCCATCTAGATTTACTACCTTTATACAACAATCAGTAGTAGAATAAATAATAAATAACATAAAATAAGCTCCGTAAAGACTGACAAATCCACAAAATTTCAAATCAAATTCAAATGTGTCAAATAAATCGTCAAGCAGAACTGTCAACAAGGATCCCCACCCTAGAGTGCTTTTATGGTGCTTTTTCCGCCCACCATGCATGAATACATGGATAGCATTATGCTCCTTCCTTAGTCTTCTTATTCAAAGACATTCACCATATAATTTTACTTTTAAAATGACAGCCATCTTCATTTCATAGCCATCGCAGGATTTTTTGAACATCAGGAACATTTCAAACTACACTTTTTCAAACATGTCCTTCAAATGTTTCAATTTAATAGCTGCTAGTGAGAACATTTTTTTTCCATCATATTGTATTTCTAATAAAAATAAATAAGTTGTCACTTTATAAGTCACTATGACATTTTTTTTCTCGATTGTGTGGTATTTATCAAACCGCACGTCAAGTTATATGGCTAGTTTGTTTTTTTGTACCTGTGCAAGCAAACAACAAACAGATTAAGTTACAATTTTTAGTTTATTAAACCACGTGACCAGTACATTGTTTGATTTTTGCGCACTATCGAGCAAATCCATTACTTTGATGAAATAATTTTCAGGGAGATCGTTCTTTCTGGACGTTAATAATCGTGTAAGCATGGCCCAAGCTTCGGAAGAGTTCGGTGTAGCATGTACGGCTTTCTGAGCGTAGATCAGAGCTTTCTTTGAGTCTCCAGCCATATAAAACGATAAAGCTACCAGATATAATACCTGAAAAAATGGACAAATATCTAAATACACTTCCCCAATAAATTAACGCACCACAAAAAAATAAACAAAAGTTTAAGTTAAGTTTTTGTCAAAACCACTTATCCGATGTGGACGATTTTTTTTGAATGATAGGTTATTCTTTCCACAATGTTGCTATACTAACTGTATTTTGATAGGAACCCTTTTTATACTAATACCGGATGTAGCAATTATAACGTGTTTTTTAATAAAATTTGTGACACCCTGTAGAGTTGATCAGTTACAGTATCAAGTTGAAATTGAAATCACATTTTAGCCTTATCTTTTTTTTACATTTTGTTTTTTTATTTACTCCAGTATCTTCCTTATTACACGAGAAACAACATTTTATAGGATGACATGATTTAAGATTGGTTTTAATTAATATTTTTCCATTTTACTCACTAAAGTAAGTAGCAAGCTATGGAAAAACACGGATTACCAGTAAATGTCAAATAGAGATGCTAGTTTCTATGCAAACTTGTAGACCATTAGTATCTCTGAGCTGAGTTTAAAGGGTCCGAGCTATTACGAAACGTTGTCTTAATTTTTGAGAGTTTTTAAAAACGTCTTGAATCGGATTGGTTCTTCGATTCCGGCCTTGTCCCGGCCTGCGACAATTACTTCCAGTATCTCTATACCGTTGTATAACTCGTGAAATGGTTGAGTGAGTTACATTAAATCGTTCACCAATTCTTTGGTAGCTCCAACCTTCCTCGGAGAATATTAATGCTTAAGCACATTCTTCGCCAGTAAAATTTCTTGGTTCACGCACGCTGCATATTTTGATATAATAAAAGCGGACGAAAACGACTAACACTGACAACAAGCATCTCTATTTGACATTTACTAGTAATCCGTGTTTTTCCATAGCCTGCTACTTACTTTTGTGAGTAAAATGGAAAAAATGTTAATTAAAACCAATATTAAATCATGTCATCCTATAAAATGTTGTTTTTCGTGTAATAAAGAAGATAATGGAGTAACAAAAAACAAATGTAAAAAAGATATAAAATGTGATGTCAATTTTAACTTGATACTGTAACTGATCATCTCTACAGGGTGTCACAAATTTTATTAAAAACACGTTATAATTGCTACACCCGGTATTAGTATAAAAAAGGTTCCTATCAAAATACAGTTAGTATAGCAACATTGTGGAAAGAATAACCTATCATTCAAAAAAAAACGTCCAAATTGGATAAGTGGTTTTGACAAAAACTTAACTTTTGTTTATTTTTTTGTGGTGCGTTAATTTATTGGGGAAGTGTAGTTTTTTTGTACGAATTTGAATAAAAAAAGAAATTAAAATAAAAGGCTATAGCCGGATTAATATGGGAAATCTGCCCCGTGGCTTTTTTGACTCGCACTCAGGTGATCGATTTTTTGTCGAATCAAAATAATTCACCTAAATTTTTAGTTCTTTAACTCGAACGGTTTTTCAGATTTTCAAAAAAAACTGTTTTTTCGATTTATTTTATAATCGATTAACGTTTTTTTTTTGAAAATAATATGATCAAGATTCTTAAACGAAAAGGCGATTTTAGACAGGAAAGAAAAATTAAAATCTTCATTTTTTTTTAACCTTTTGTGAAATATGTCACTCACTAAACATCGTCAGAAAATTTCTTTTTATACTTCACACTCAGGAATTTTTAGAATTTTTGAAGTGGTGGAACAATTTAAAAAATTAAAAAAAAAACTCATTTTTTCTAAAATTCTGTTTTAACTAGGGAATGCAATCTCAATCAGTATCTCAATCCCGCAAAACCCGCGGGATTAAAGCAATCAATCCCCCGGATCCGCAAAATTGCGGGACTGTAAACAGTAGTCATACATTTGGTCCTAAATGGTACAAAAGGCATTGCACATTTTGCATAGGCCCACAATATATTGATAGAGCGTGTATCTTAAACTAGCTGTATAGAAATTTGCACTGATGTATACAGGGTGTTCAAAATATATTTAATATTAAATAAACTTAAATTTTATTATAATTTATCTACTTATTTTATAAATAAAAAATATTATTCTGACGTTGAAGTTTTTTTTTAACCTGTGTTAGTTAT